CCACGAACATGTTCCTGAGCATGTCGGGTCCCGTTGGGAAGCTGCGGCCACATAGGGTGCGCGGGCAAAGATCGTTTTCACAATTGCGGTATTCACAACTGCTTATGGTTGGGTCCTTTGCCAGGCATATTTTTTTGGATTGGTGGGGGTGGGTGTGGGGTTGGGGGTGTGGGTGGGTTGGCGGGTATAGTTTTGCTGTGGATATGTACAAAGATGTACACACGTACGCGGGCAGCTTTCATTGGCCTGCACTCGACAGTGATGTTTCGGGCACGCGGGACCGCGGAGGGCGTGCGTGTAAGTGTCTTTGCTAGTTCATACAGAGCGATTCGTCTTGGCCTGTGTGAGCATGCGGTGTTCCCGTTTTAGCACGGATGTGGTATCTTCAGTGTGTAGTCGTTACGGGAGTCATCCTCAAGGAGACCGTGTTTTGAGGGAAATTAGCTTGGCGAAGGACTCAACCATACGAAGTTGTGAATACCGCACTTGTGCATACCATCTTCGCCCGCGCTCCCCATGTGGTCACGGCTTTCCGCCAGGGCCCGACATGCTCAGGAACACGTTCGTGGCCGTCTTCGCGGGCGCCGACGACGACAAGGACGGCGTCCCTCTGACCGAGGAGCAGAAGCAGAAGAGGGCTTTGAGAGCCATGAGGGAGGAGGTGGAGTTGCACGTCGACAAGGCGGAATACGACGCCCAGGCGCGGTTGTTAAAGCAGCACAACTATGGGGCCGCAGTCCCCTGTGAGGGGTGTGCCGACATGCCCCGGGGCCGCCATGCGAACCCTGCCGTTGGGGGCCTTCGGTGGAGCCCCCTATGGGGCTACGATCCTCGTGAGGGGTGTGCCGAAATGGCCCGAGGCCGCCATTGGAACCTTGCCACTGGCGCCTTCGGTGGAGCTCCCTATGTGGCTTCGATCCTCGTGAGAGGTGTGCCGAAATGGCCCGAGGCCGCCATGCGAGCCCTGCCGCTGGCGTCTTTGCTGGAGCTCCCGTGGGGCCACGGTCCTCGTGAGGGGTGTGCCGAAATGCCCCAAGGCCACCGTGCGAACCCTGCCACTGGGGGCCTTCGGTGGAGCTTCCTATGGGGCTACGATCCTCGTGATGGGTGTACCGAAATGGCCCGAGGCCGCCATGCGAACCCTGCCACTGGGGGCCTTCGGTGGAACCCCCTATGGGGCCACGATCCTCGTGAGGGGTGTGCCGAAATGGCCCGAGGCCGCCATGGGAACCTTGGCACTGGCGCCTTCGGTGGAGCCCCCTATGGGTCCACGATCCTCGTGAGGGGTGTGCCGAAATGTCCCGAGGCCGCCATGCGAGCCCTGCCGCTGGTGCTCTCGGTGGAGCTCCCCATGCGGCCACGATCCTCGTGATGGGGTGTGCCGAAATGGCCCGAGGCCGCCGTGCGAACCCTGCCACTTTGGCCTTCGCTGGAGCTCCTGTGGGGCCACGATCCTCGTGAGGGGCGTGCCGAAATGGCCTGGGGCCGCCATGCGAACCGTGCCTCTGGAGCTTTTCGGTGGAGCTCCCTATGGGGCCACGACGCGCTGTACTGGGTGGGTGAAACGCAAGGAGGAGACAGGGGGAGAGGAAGAGGAGGGGAGGAACGCGGGGCACCGTCATTTCAACACGAGGACCCAACACCACAGGATGGTTGGAAAAAATGATTCTGGCGACACCCATCTTCTGATCGAATGAATGTGCATCCGAAGGGTAGGCAGTAATTCTGCGATGAGTTAATCAGTTGCAGACATATTGCGTGTCAGCGTTCACGGGGTAGGCACCTGGTTGCGAAATTCGTGCCGCCGTTTTGGCTATGCGCAAGGTTCGGAGATAAACCGGCGTTGGGCTTTCGCAGGAGCGCGCAGCTGCTATTTGAACCCTGGCATGTTCACTCTTGCAAGCCATTCGCTCGCGTCGCGGCCGCAAACTATAATCTCTTCCGCAAGCTGGATGGGTAGGCTTCGCGAGAGAGATGGGCCCCCACCAGAAGAAGGACTCACATTTTCTCGTGGGCGTTTGGTTGGCGGCAGTTCCATTGTCGCATTGACGTGCGGGCGGCAGCGCCATCGGAGGCGATGCTTTTGCAAGGTTATTCGCCCCAGGATCTCTTCCCGCAATAATTGTTTTCAGCGGGTGCACAGAGATAATTGGGAATCGAGTTCGGTCTTACATGCATTGCCAGATGGCTCCTCGGCTGACGTGGGCAGCAAATTTGAAAGTGAGCCTTTGATGTGGTTCTCGCCAGATGGTGAACGAAAAATCGGCAGCGGCGATACGCAGGTATTACCATTCATTTCCTCCACCGATGTTTATCTTCCTGGAACCGCCGTGAACTTGTCCATTGCAGCCTCACAGGAGTGCTGTCTCTATGAAGATATGTTGCTTGGTGGAGGCCGTCTTGTTGTGACTTCATTGCAAGACAGGGCGCAACAGCGCACAGCGCTTTATGGGACACTCCTTTTTCTGGAAGATTTGCGTGATGTGCAAGCGGCCTCTGGTGGAGAGGTGACGTATGTGGCAGAGCACCGAGCTATAGGGCGGGTGAAGTTGATTGACATGATCTCTGGACGTGGGGATGGACGGCGCGCATATCAACGTGTAGAGGTTGAGGTCGTGTTAGACGCTGACACCGGTACAGACGTCTCAGACAACCGGGATGCTGTGATGGTTGAACTGCAAGAGTTAGCAAGGCTTCAGGGCAACTCGGGTGGAGCAATGCCCGGAGACGTTTCGGCGGCAGAGCTGATATCGACTTTGCTTCCTGTGACGCTTGATCCCTGCTTGCAGGCGGTGCAAGGACTCTGGCGCGCCAACGCTGGCGTAAGGATACGCATCCACGGTGCAGACGCGGTCGGTGTAGGAAAGTTAGAAGTGGATGGGAAGGATCTCGTGCTGCAGCTAACAAGTGGCCGCAGTGCGGGTGAATTTCGTGGGCGTTCAGATTCGGACGACCAGTCTGGCAACACAGCAGAGGTCTTGCAATGGAGCGATGGAGATGTTTGGGTGCGGTTAGCTCGACCTCCACCGTACACGTTCGACTGCTTCGGCGAGAACGGGGCCTTCTGGGATGCAGTGTTCCGCTGGAGTCGAAGAGGCTCGTGGCGTACCGAGGTGCGCAGGGGCGAGGCGAGATTGCGATCCGCGGAGGGGATTCGTGAAGGGCTGACACGGCAGAACGACGTCGGGGCGCCAGACTTCGAAGCTGCGGAGGCAGAGTGGCTTAGCGCGGCACGTGGTGCAGATGCAGATGCAGAGGAGATGTTGTGGGAGGAGGCTCGGGGGCGTCGTAAGGCACACAACCCAGCCCTCCCGGAGGATCATCCGAAGATCCGATAAAGAGAGAGAGGGAGGAGGGATATATGGCGGAGGGGGAGGAGGGATGGGGAAGTTTCGAGGCCGAGGAGGGGGAAGGGCAAGGGGGTGACTGGGGCGAGGGGAGGGTGTGTGGGGGACTTCTCCGCCATCGGAGCCTTCGAGAATACGCCGGGCTCGACTCTGCCTTGTCCCTTGCGGCCAGGTGTGTCCCAAAGTCAGAGTGATGTGGTCGCCGCCAGCTGCCTCCGATCGGAGGAGAAGCGGCGCTGCCTTCGAAACCCCCGAGGAGGAGAAGGGCCCCGAGGAGGAGGAGGAGGCGGAGGAGGAGGAGGAGGCGGAGGAGGAGGAGGAGGAAAAGGAGATGAGGAGGAGGCGGAGGAGGAGGAGAAGGAGAAGGAAGATGATGATGATGATGCTGATGATGATGCTGATGATGATGCTGATGATGATGATGATGAGGAGGAGGAGGAGGAGGATGAGGACTAGGATGAGGAGACGGATGACCAGTGTAAACCGAGTCGCATCAACGATTTTTCAATATACCCTCCCTCAAATTCCCTCTTCATAGTGCCCTACCGGAATTTGCGTTCATTGTAGGATATGTCCCATCCGAAGGCAACCGTCTGATAATCCTCAAGTGTGCTAACACACCACTCCTGGGACGTCGGCGCCGCGAATCAACGTGGCTGCTGCGTCCTGGCAATCCTTCGGCATGTCAGAACACCATCTCTGGTATTCTAGCATTACGAATTATCGTGACTGTTGCGTCGTCAGAATCCTAAGTCCTGCCAGAACACCATTTCAGCGACTTCAGCACCGCGAGTGACCGTGATTGTTCCGTCCTGAGAATCCTAAATCTTGCCAGAGCGCCATTCGTGGGACTTCGACTGTGCGAATCTTTGAAGCTGCTACAGGCTGCCCACTATGATGTGCGCGGCTTTCAGGCTGCAACTACATATTGAGATCGACCCGTCCTCAATCCTTTAATTTGCTGCAATTGTTGAAGACGAGAGTGCGTGGCGCTGAGGCGAGAGCCACAAGAACAACAAGGCCCGCCTCGCGTCTTTGAACTTGAACCTTTTGCATTTCTAAGCAGTGTGTACGCGGCGCCTAGGCGAGAGCAACATTTTGAAACATGAACCACCCTGCGTCCCACAGACTGTCGCACATAATTAAGACGAGTGTGCGCGTCTTTACGGCTAGGGCAACATTTTGAAAACGGCCCACTCTCAATCTTTGATGCTGTTGCGGTTTTTGACGAGAGTGCGTGGTGCGAAGGCGAGAACCAAATAAAAAACTGGCCAGCGTTGCATCATTGAAATTGCAGCACATGTCCAACAAGAGTGTGCGCGGCGCAAAGGCGGGAACTGCAGTTTGAAAACCACTCGCCCTCCATCCGTGAAGCTCTTGTGAATCTCAAACTTTATGATCACGGCTTGTGAGGAAATCTCAGGCGAAATGCCCAGCCTGCACCACAAACACGTTTGGGTTTGCGGCATGGATTGGGCCGTTCATTAAAACGTCAAAGACTATGCTCTTCATGGCGATGGTGGTGATGATGACGATGAGGAGGCGACGGATGATGATGACGATTCTGATGATGATGATGATGATGATGAGGAGGAGGAGGATGGCAACAACTAATGGGGAGGAGCGCGGGGAAGTGAGGAGGAGGATCAGTATAAGCCCAAGACTCATCAACGATGTTGAAACACACCCTTCCTTCGAGCTTCCTCTTTATAGGTCCCCCATAAGGAGTTATTTTCCATGAGTGGATTGCCCCGTTGGCAAACAGCCGTTTGAACATCCTGCAATGTGCCCGAACACCACTTCAGCACTACAAGACAATGTGACGGTTGAGCCCTGCCAAGTCTGCATCATGCCGAACCAGCATTCTTGGGACGTGAACCATTATAATCTTTAATTGTTGTAAGCTCTGGGAACGAATCTGCGAGGCACTGGCGAGAGCCACATTTTGAAAAGGAGCCGCCTTCCATCATCCATGAGTTCTTACATTTTTATGACGAGAGTGCGCAGCGGGAAGGCGAACGCCACATGTTGAAGACTACCCGCCCCCCCCCCCCCCCTACGTGAAATTCTTATACTTTAAAGACGAGTGTGCGCGGCGCTGAGGCGAGAGCCACATTTCAAAAACGACCTGCCCTCCACCCATGAAGGTCTTGCAAACTTTCCAGACCATCCTGTGGTGTTGGGTCTTTGTTTTGAAGAGAGTGCCCCGCGTCTCGCTCCTCCTTCTCTCCCCCCTCCCTCCTCCCATCCTTGCCTCTGCCCCCCCGCACCAGTCAACCATGTCGGCACACCCCTCACACGTTCCGTGCCCCATAGGAACCTCGCCGAAGGCCCAAGTCGCTGCGTTTGCATGCGCCCACCACGCCCATGTCGGCACACACCTCACACGTTTCGTGGCCCAAGTGGGAGCTCCACCGAAGGCCCCAGTGGCTGCGTTCGCATGCGCCCGCTGGCACACATGTCGGGACACCCCTCACGCATTTCGTGGCCCCATAGAGAACCCCACCGAAGGCCCCACAGACTGCGTTCGCATGCGCCCGCCGCACCCATGTCGGCACACCACTCACACGTTTCGTGGCCCCACAGGGAGCGCCACCGAGGGCCCCAGTGGCTGCGTTCGCATGCGCCTGCCGCACCCATGTCGGCACGCTCCGCACACGTTTCGTGGCCCCACATGGAGTTCAACCGAAGGCTCCGGGACTCCAACGTCACGAACCAACATGACTGCTGTGTCTTGGCGATCTAGAATCGTACCAGAAAGCCATTCTTCGAACTTCGACATCGTCAATCAACGTAACTGCTGTTCCTTCGCAGTCCTGAGTCCTTTCAAAATACCATTCCCGGCACGGTGACCGTGGGAATCCGTGGAACTTTGCGAATGTTTAAGACGAGTGTGCGCGGCGCTAAGACGAGAGCCACATTTTGAAAACGACCTGCCTTCAATCCGTGAAGATTTTGCAGATGTTTTAAACGCATGCGCACAGCGCTAAGGCGAAAACCACATTTTGAAAACGACCCGCCTTCAGTCCGTGAAATCCTTGCAAATGTTCAGGACGAAAGTGCGCGGCGCTTCAGCGACAGCCACATTTTGAAAACGACCCGCCCTCAATCCGTGAAATTCTTGTGGTTGTTTGAAACGAAAGTGCGCGGCGCTTCAGCGAGAGCCACATTTTGGAAGCGACCCGCCCTCCATTTCTGAAACTGTTGCCAATTTTTGAGCTTCAGGGTCACAAGTGGTGAGGAAAGCTAAGGCGAAACGCTTGGCCCGCCCTTTCGACCGGCCTCGGGGTGCGACAGGGAGGAGTTATTATTTATAAGGGGACAGAAAGGAGGAGGAGGAGGAGGAGGAGGAGGAGGAGGATGAGGAGGAGGAGGAGGAGGAGGAGGAGGAGAGGAGGAGAGGAGGAGGAGGAGGAGGAGGAGGGAGGAGGGAGGAGGAGGAGAGGAGGAGGAGGAGGAGGAGGAGGAGGAGGAGGAGGAGGAGGAGGAGGAGGAGGAGGAGGAGGAGGAGGGAGGAGGGAGGAGGAGGGGAGGAGGAGGAGGAGGAGGAGGAGGAGGAGGAGGAGGAGGAGGAGGAGGAGGAGGAGGAGGAGGAGTGTGACCTAGCCTTTGTGGAACAGGTGGGGAGGTGTGGGGGAGGGGGGTGGGCACTCCGCGCTCTGGAGCCCCCCAGGTGCTGGAGCCCTGCCAGCGCATCCTGCAGGCTCCGACGCACGCCGCCTGCCTGCGGGCGTTTCGCGGTGCCATAGCGGTCGAGGCTCGGGGCAGCCAACGTCGCACGAGTGATGAGGTTCGCCTTCCCACCCCCCTTCGGGGCAAGCTCGGGCCAGGCGAAAGGGAGGGGGGGAGGTGGGACAGGGGTGTGGTGCGAACTCTGCTGCGCGCAGCTGGTTTGAGCTCTGGTGCCAGGGCCTTCCCTCGATGCGTGGGCGCCTCTGGCGTCCGGAGGCGCCATGGAAACCAGCCACGTGAGCTGATTCGCTAACCCCCCGTTGCTATTCCTGCGTTCTTTTTCGCCCGACCCGAGACGCGCACGGGGGAACGGAATGCGAGCTCCGTCCTCAGAGGAGGGGGGGGCGGGATGGGAAGGGGCGGTCAACGTCGTGCGAATGATGAGGCTCGCCCTCGGGTGCTGAGCTGGAGTCGGGGAGTG